GATTGATTGGTTGGTTGATTGATTGATTTAAAATTCGTTGTTATTTTTTTTCTTTTTTCGTAATGTAGAGAGAGAGAGAGAGAGAGAGAGAGAGAGAGAGAGAGAGAGAGAGAGAGAGAGAGAGAGAGAGAGATTCTGCTGTACTGATCTCAAATGGATGGTCACTCGGTTCCATTGTGCTATCTGCTCTGGCTTCGACCACTTGGACTTCATTGTGATTTTGCGATTTGGATTTCTGTGCTTCGTCCATATTCGTGTTTCTTACACAGTCATAAACCAATCAATCAATCAATCAATAAATCAATCAATCAATTGGATTGATTTATTGATTGATTGATTGATTGATTATTAGTTTTTGTTTTGTTTTGTTTTATATTCAATCAAGATAGATAGATAGATAGAGAGAGAGAGAGAGAGGGAGAGGGACAGAGAGAGAGAGAGAGAGAGAGAGACCACACACACACACAGAGTCACACACAGACTGACCCACATTGGGCCACACACAGTCATCATTCACGGAAACTGACACACACACACACACACACACACACACACACACACACACACACACACACACACACACACACACACACACACACACACACAGAAATGCGACAGTCCGCCATCCCATCTTTCACACGGGGTGAAGTGCAAGCACCAAAACGAAACCATAAAATAACCAAAAAAGATTCACCACAAAAAACAAAAAAAGATATAACAATAAATTAAAACCAAACTAAGAAACACAGAAACACACAAAAAGAATCCGCCGACATATCCATTTTCATTACGAACTCACATTCCGCGATGCTATGGAGCACAAACAAAGTACACAGACTGACAAGAATGAAAAGAAAATGCCCCGAACGTGAAAGCCACGTGGTAGCAATGGTTGCAGTCCGTTGATGACCTCTTGCCCACTACTACTACTACGAACACGTTATTCGCCCACCATGCACGCTATGAAGGCATAGCGTACTGACAAAAGAAACGGAGGAAAGATAAAACATCAAGAAAAAAAAAAAAGGAATATAACCCTATACGGACAAAACTGAAGGCGACTAAAAAAAACCTTCCCCGCCGCATGCACCCACTCCTCCTTCGTTTCCACTATGCCCGCCAACCTCCCCTGCGTCATCGCCACCGCCCCCCGCTTCGTCATCGCTCGTCGGCAGCGAGATACGGTATCCGTTGGGGGGGGGAGGGTATGGCCGGAGGTTTGGATTTCCGTACGTCTAGGTTATGGCCGCCCACCCGTACGGACCGCGCGAAGGATCGGCCCCCCAACCCCCATTTCGTTGGGACGTATCTCGCGGAAGGTGGCCCCATCCGCCTTCTCCTTGCGTTAGAGTGTCCGCTGTGGACTTCCCCTCCTCGGCACCTGCCCCCCCCCTCGCCAATCGCCGGTGACGAAGACGATGACGGAGGTGTTTGGGGGTGAGGTGAAGTGGTGGCGTGCGGAGTGCCAGATGGCCCCCCTTCGCCAGCTGCCACTGCCGGAGACGCCGCGCTGCTTTCGTCCGCCATCTCTCTCTCTCTCTCTCTCTCTCTCTCTCTCTCTCTCTCTCTCTCTCTCTCTCTCTCT